AAATTAGGTGTCTATTTACTTGTGACCACTCAGTGTATATATATATATATATACACTGTAAGTATATGGGCTATTATAAGGGAACCATTTTTTATCTGCACTAATTATATCCAGAAAAGAATCACGTACACGCTGCGATTAAGAATAATTTTAACTTTGGTCACAGAGGGATAAAACAGGGAATACTATGCCTTCACATAGAATGTTCTTGCGCTTATACAAATTCGGCGAAAGTGTGATGAAAAAACTTAAATAATTTCCTCCTCTCTTCTGGAGCTCTAAATCTTAAGGTAATAAAACAGTTTTACATTATCTGGGATTTCCAACTGATTCGTAAAACCCATCACTGCTTTAAAAAACAGTTTTAATCGAAATTTTTGTTATTTAATGGTTGCAGTTTGAAACACTTTAAATTACAGGTTTAGAAGCTCTCCTCCTTTAAGAATAATTAGAGTTCTATGAAAAATATTTATTTCTATTTCAATAACCAATTATTGTGATATCAGTTATTGATTACATTTTTCTTCAAGATGATTGTCATCTCTGAAAACGAAAGACTTGAGATTTTTTTAACCTAAAGTGTTCGAAATATTCGACTAGTAAAATGCATTTCATCGGAAACAGTATTACATCAGAAGAAAATCAATTTTTTTAAAAAAATCGAAATTGTCTCACTATGTTGCCTACTTTACGCTTGATGCTTGAGATATTGCGTTATCTCTCTTTTTTTCTGTTTATCACTTCGTATTTTTTTTTAGATGTACGTTAACAGATAGTTGAGGTTTAATTGAATTTCTAATAAATTAGAGTTTGGCAAGATGTCGTTTCGTACAAAACTTATCATTCCTATTTTGGCAGACATACCGATAGGATATCCAAAAGCTCATGCGTGAGCTATATTATTACTTTAATTAAAGGGTTCTTAGTTAGTGTCGTTTACCATTTCACTTGAAGCCTAATTAGGCTTTAAAGCTTCTCTATGCTTTATGGCGAAATCTAAATGGAAATGGGCAGGTGTGGCCAAGTGGTAACGCAGTTCAGTTTTATCGTTCATAATGTACCTTCAACTCATTTTTTCATTCACAATTGGACAGGTCGTAGCTTAGTGGCTAGCGTGCTCAGAATGTGATTCATAGGATTCATGGTTCACGGCCCGTTGTTGCAAAAATGCGCTTTGTTATTAGAGTCAAGGCGGAATCCTACTATTTGGCAGACAAGAGAAGTTCAAGAAGTGGGAAAATATTCCCTCTGGCATATCAGAGATAGCTATGCGCAGATATCTCCTCAGGTAGTTTAGCACGAAAATTCAGAAACAAAAAACCTAACTGGGAATACACTAAGGCCAACTTGCGAACGCTTCAATGCTCATATTTTGTTTCAGAACAAGAGTAGTCAGTACATTTAGTGTATGTCTCTAGGATTGCGAACACCATAATGCTCATTCTTTGTTTCAGAACAAGAGTAGTCAGTACATTTAGTGCATGTCTCTAGGACTGCGAACACCATAATGTTCATTCTTTGTTTCAGAACAAGAGTAGTCAGTACATTTAGTGCATGTCTCTATGATTGCGAACACCATAATGTTCATATTTTGTTTCAGAACAAGAGTAGTCAGTACATTTAGTGCATGTCTCTAGGATTGCGAACACCATAATACTCATTCTTTATTTCAGAACAAGAGTAGTCAGTACATTTAGTGTATGTCTGTATGATTGCGAACACCATAATGTTCATATTTTGTTTCAGAACAAGAGTAGTCAGTAAATTTAGTGTATGTCTTTACGATAAACAGCGACTAAACTTCCAACTTTAATTCTTAATTAGTACATATCCATTTGATGTTAAAACATCACTTGCTTTGATCAACTACCAAGATGAAGTGACGATATTTATAATGTCAAAAAAAGTTCAATGAAAAACTCTAGTAACAAATAGGAACATTCCCGAAGAAAAAGTGACTAAGAAATATCCTCCATCTTAAAGTATAGAAGAAAGAACAAAAATAAAACTTTTGAAATAGTATAATCGAAGTGATCGAAACATAAATAAAAGGAATATTTAATTAAATCAAACTCAGGGGCAAAGCACAATTTCAGTTATAATATTGGTAAACTGTAAACAAAAAACAACATTCCAGCCACTATATGTTTAAAGTTTGTTTCTTTTAATTGTTATATTTTCTTAGTTTTTAATATTTTTCATTATTAGGGTAGAATATAACAGGCTCGTTGAATATATATACTTTTTTCACTTATCTTCCTCTGATATCATAATCAATGGTCAATTTTTAATGAAGGGTATGACTTTTTGTTATATAAATTGTTTAGTCGCGTGCAATAATGTTTTTTCACCTCCACCCCACCCCAAAAAATATTAAACTCTTTAAAGAGTTGCTGTTTGACTTGAAATTTTATCATCAAATTAAATAGACATAATTCTAAGTGAAATAGAAATTTGTCTTTTGAGTATATTAAAAGGAACAATTCATGATGACGAAGAACCCGCTTCGTGTACAAGGAACAATACTTTGTAAGCGCCTTTTAGATGCGATCCTAATTATGCTCTGTATATACATTTCCACTGAGATGTATTAGAATTGAAACTTGTCAGGAATATAACACAAGCTATAACTGCTTTAAAGCAAGCCACATGTTACTGAATACATCCACTCAGAACCATGCTTTTGTCCTTCCTTCTGTGTGATATTCCCATGTTCTCAGATGAGAAAACTGTTTCATTTCACTTACATATTAACAAGCTAAAAGAAAGCAAATTCCTTGCTATATAAATTCAAAAGTATTAACGATACGTTTTTCTATCTCTTGTGCCAGTTCAGAAATATTGGTTTGATGTATAACGTAATGAGCAACTCCTGTATAAATAGGTTGAATTATTCATTTTGATTCGCGCGTTTTCTGTCTGAAAAATGGACCCATTTCCCAAAAGCATCGCCTTCGAAACAATGTAATACTCGAAGAGAAATTAAAATGAAGGTTACAATTAAATACGATTGTAATTCAGAAATTTTTGAAGTACTTTATCTTTGGAAAAACAAGCTGATTTGGTAAAGACAGAAGTTGGAACATAAAACCAGTTTAATTAATTATTCCAGTTTAATCTGTTTCAAAAAAGCAACGTATTGCTTTTATTGAAACAGGCATAAGATTTTAATATATTTTCTATTGGTGTTTTGATGTGTAATATCACGTGTTACAATGTTTTATTGTTTCTGTGTTGTTGAAAAGATCTAGAAAAAGTTGTCTTACCTGGTATTAAACAGTCACTGAAACAAACTTGGCATATCTTCAAATCAACTTTAATTGTTGGTTCAGTCACACGATGTGACAAACATAAACAAATGTTATTGTTATAAAAAAAGAACTTGATGGTTGATTTTTTTGTTTCTTTATTTCATGGACGAAATCTGATCAGTTGTACAGTGTGTATGTAGCTGGTGTCTATATAACCCGATTTACTAAGTGAGTTAACATTGTTGTATTTGTGGTTGTTGTGAAAAAGTTCTCGTTATTAAAACAGCTAGCATGTAAATACACAGTAAAACTTCACTGATGAGTTGGCAATAAAATTTTCGTTCTTCAGAATCTCTCTCATTCTTTCTGATGTATTAAAATCTTGTCTGTTTGTTATTGAACGATATTTTTGTTTTAACTTTGTCGTTGCTAATGAAAAACTAATATTTGATAATCAACAAACACTATGGTTTAAACCCTGTTG